AGCCAGCATGGCTGGCTGGGGGATTCTGGGGGTTGAAGTCCACACATCTTAAAGTTGCTAAAGTTGAGAAACACTGATATAGACTATACATAAACATTCATGTTTCAGTTTCTAGCCTTATCAAAAGGCTATCTCTGGACTGTAAAATTTATTTATTTACTGGATTATTTTTTTATCACTGTAATCATGTGACTCTTGGCAGTATGGAAGAGAAAAAGTGCCAAATACTAGGCAAACATTTAATTATCTTTGAGGGATGTGGCCCTGAAAATGTTGTTGAACTACAATTCCCATCAGCTTTCAACTGTGGGCTAATGAGGCATTAAAATTCACAAGGTCTTCCTCCTCCCCAAATTAAGGAAAGGAATCAATCCTAAATTTATATTAAGACTATCAACAGAATCCAGCTGCAAGACACAGCATTAATCATCCACAAATAATACATCCTCCACTATTATTCTAACCTATATAATTATTTGTTCTATGTGTATCCAAAATGCCACAGGGAACTTTCAGAATGGAAAAAAGGGAGGGTGGGAGTGCTAACAACTTTTATAAATTTTTATCATTAATCATTTGTCCCATAATTCAGTTTAATTTGACTATTTTACATTATAGTCATAAAGCAAACACACTTCATCATGGCCATAATTCAGCTTTTTGACTTATTGTCTTCTAATACACTAAATTATTTAACTTATTGTCTTCTGTTGCACTAAATTATTCTGAAATAATTTTATGCCATTTGTTGTCTTTTAAAAATCACTTTAATTCATTCTGCTGTCTAAAAGAACAGTTCCTTAAAATAGAAAGAACATCTTGGTTACATAAGTGAATATCTGTACCTTTTAACATTGTTGTCAAATAAGACAGAATATAATTCAAAAATCCAAAGTATTCTACTTACTTTACTAAAATGGGAAATTGTTTATTGAATGTATCCATAAAATAATAATTAAAAAAAACTGGGCAAAATTATGCTATTCTCTCCACAATTGTGCAAGCTACAACTGATCACAATCAGTTGTAACATTTTGAGAGGATACAGAAAAAAAAAGTGAAATCAATTGGGCCATTAAGGATTTATTTAGGAACATTTTCCCCGTATTTCAGATTTATTTATTCCACCTATCTATCCCTCTAATTAAATACTGTCGCTTGTTACAGTCACCAAATTAAACTTTTCTTATTTCGTTTTTATTAATTTGGCTGGGAAAAAGGATAACTACAGTTACCTATTAACAAGCCAAATTCTAGAGTTTACACACATACAGTGATATCAATTACAATCTCACAAAAAATACAATCTGAAGCTCCTTCTCACCCATGTTTCTTGGGAGCTGGCTGCTTTGCTACAACAGTATTACAGGTAGTTCTCGACTTACAACCATAATTGGGACCAGAACTGATGCAGTCGTTAAGTGAGCTGTGCCTGATTTTACAACCTTTTCGCCATGGTTGTTAAGCAAATCATGCAGTTGTTAAGTGAATCCGGCTTCCCCCATTGACTTTGCTTATTGGAAACCCCCGGGGAAGGTTGCAAATGGCGATAACATGACCCCAGGATGCTGTAACTGTTGTAAATACATGATGGTTGCCAAGTGCCTGAATTTTGATCACATGGCCATGGGGGCGCTGCAACAATCCTAAGTGTGAGGACTGGTTGTAAGTCACTTTTTTCAGCACCAGCACAACTTTGAACAGTTGTTAAACGAATGGTCGTAAGTCAAGGACTACCTGTAATACAAACCAATTACTTACCTGTACCTGCAGTTCTTCATATAATCATCTATGAATTCATACATATGGGTTATGCACTTGCACAGAACTCCATTCAGAATCAACTAAAGCTACAGAATTCTTTGTCAGAAGCCCTGCCCTGCATGCAATTAAGCACAGCTTCCATTGATCCTCTTTAATTCCTAAGATCAATGTAGTGCATCAGAAGGAATAAAGTCACCTGACACCAAGAAGATAGGACAATTTGCAGATGACTATTCAAACAACTGCAGTAACACATTCTTCATCATGGTCTCTCAGATTGACATATATGTGTAAGTAGCAAACTTATAACCTGGAGAAGGGTCCAGTTATCATAAGATAGCCAAGGCCTTACGATGCCCCTCCAAATGTTGCATCTCTCTGAATGCTGGATGAAGGCAGAGGGATGAACACATGTGGCTGTCTGGCGAAGCTCCAGTAATGGAATCCCTCAGAAGAAAGCTGCCAATACTGTCACTGCTGTTTTAGAATAGTACAAATCAACATTGTTGCTTAGCCAGCTTGCAACAAAACTTCATGGTTGTCTCTGTCTATGAGCCATACCCTATAAATGGGCCTTGGAAGGCAGAAATAAATGATAGTTTCAGTGGAACAATACAAAACAGTCTAAGTAGAAGGCATGTACATGACAGACATTTGAGGGGCTGGGAAAAAATAGAGGCAGTTTAATGTCTTAATTAAACTAATTTAACTTAATTAATTAGCAAAAACTAATTTTGGAAAGAGGGCGGTATCCATGCAAAGAATTATTTTCTTCGTATGAAATGTAAGAAAAGGAGGATTTCTCTAAAGCAGTGTTTCTCAACCTTGGCAACTTGAAGACGTGTAGACTTCAACTCCCAGAATACCCCAGCTACCCATGCTGGCTAGGGAATTCTGGGAGTTGAAGTCCACACATCTTCAAGCTGCCAAGGTTGAGAAACACTTCTCTAAAGGCATATAGCTCTAACCCAGTGAGATCTTTGATTGCCTCTTCCCATCAGAGGAAGTGAATAGAAGAAGTAGCCAGAGGTTCACAGGGATTCAATATTAGCATAGAAAGAACAAGAAAGAGGCTTGAGGTAGAAACTGGTGGAGATTCCAGTGGATAGATGTTAGGAGAAAAGAGAAGTATCCCAGTGAAGAAAAAAAAGAAGATGGTTGTTTTAATTGCAAAACAAAGGCCCAAAATGGGTGGTGTTTTTTTTTAATTGATTGATTGAGTGCCCCAAATAGGTGGATTGACGTGATACTGCCAAGTATCAAATTGTTTTTTTCAAATACTTGAAAGGACTTCTATTTATCTGCAGTACAATCCCCTCTACCTTATTCCCGACCAGTTGTGGAACTGAATTCTCCAAGGTGTAAGATGGAAAGAATCAGGGTTTGTCAAGATTTGTCCCAGATGGATGGAAAGTAATAAGGATGACTTGGGAGACAGAAGTACTCTCAATGGGAGAGAATGAACAATGGAATGGACCATAGATGCTGAGGCCATCAAGATATGTGAGAAAGAACTGAGGCCACAAGATGTGTAAGAATGAAATCCCTGTCTATGTTCACACGGAGACTGATCACCAGGAAAATAGATAAACATAGATATAGCAGAGGTGCTTGGTCCCTATCAAAGGGTTGTGTGATGATGTCAAAGGAGAAAAACTGAAGTAGTTCACTGGGAGCCTCACTAAGCTGCATGATGTGCACAGAGAGCAGAGCTTCTTGTAAACAACTCTGTAAAGATGATCCAAAGAGAACAGGAAAGGGGAAACTTGATTAACTGAAACATGAAGGCAGCTATGAAAGTTGTTCTACTTTCAGTTAGGATAGTTTATAAATGTCTTCCATAAATAAATAACCACTAAAGAAGAAAAGGATCCTCCGTGGAAAGATTAAATGCCTGTTAACTCAATAGAATAAATAAACTCCCTCCATGACAGCCTGGAGAAGATCTACTGTGATTTTCAAACTGCAGTTCCCAATACAATCCTGTTGGAATGAATGTCAAGATGCATATAATGATAAACCATATTTACACTAAACCATAAAAAGGAAGGCAGATTTTGCATGGGACAAGTGTATTCACAAGCATTTGCATTCTCTAAGGCACCATTCTGATACTGAGAATGTGAAGTTTTTAAAATGTCTTTTTAATGTTCATCAGCACTGGCTTGAAGTACTGAAACCCCACACTCAAGAAAGTTAATCTAAAAACTGTTACTTTGCTAGATCAATATGCAATCCCCCCTCCTTTCTTTTTTAAATTTCATACCTTGTCCTTCTGGAGTTTCACCAAAGGGATTCACCTCAACTTGAGTGGCATCAATTTGCAAGAAAAGATTGTATAGCTTCTTTATTTGATCTGCTGCCTGAAGTTGAAAATGTAGTGCATAATTACATAAACAGAAAATCAGAGAAAGGGGGTAAAGAAAAAAGAGAATAATTCTAACTTATAGCAATAAACCTATTTGTATTTTCTGCATTGGTAAGAGAGGTTAAAATGTTAACATTCTTTTATTAAATGGAAGTGCTTTATATTGTCTTCAAATTGATGGCTGATGCCTTAGCCTCTTCCTCCCTCAAGTAAAAAATTGATTGCTAGTTCAAAACATTGTCAAATATTGCATAAAGACTCACTCTTCACAGTGCACTAAATAGGGCCTTGCAGGAAGAAATAACAGCATCATTAATTCAAACAAACTTAATTTAAGCACAATGAACCAAGTTTGAGAGTTCATAATGAATACATTATGCTGATATGGAAGTTAAAGTGATTACCTTAATGAGACTAAATTCAGAAACTGTGAAGCAATATGCAGCTGACAAATGTAGATTAGTTGCTGAATTTGTTTAGAAAATACTTAAACCCGCCCTTCCTACATCAAAATGTGACTTCTGCTGCAGAAGCAACAGTTGAAAAATTGGGTTATTTGCTCTCACAACTTGGCTTGTATTCATTGTGCTTAGTTTTATTGATGTGTGACTGGGATTAAACTTCTCTGAATAACTTTCCATCTGTATTATCTTTCTTTTCAGGGAAAATCCCTCATCAAGTAGGTGACATATTTTAAAATGTACAACAAATAAGCTAACAATGAAAGTAACAAATACTTAATACATAAAGCAGAGGTGGCCAATCATCCCCCAACATCCAAATTGTGCTCCCACACCACTCCACCATAAATCACTCCAACATTCCATCAACAAAGTTTGGAAGTTTAGTGTACTTCATGTGAAGAAGAAGGTCTAGTACACTTCCTAAGAATTGATTTTCCTTGTTTAAAAAGTAGTTGATTGCTTCCTTGTTGCAGTGATCTGGCAGGAGGTTCTTCCTTTATTTCTTCTCCTGCCTCCCAATAGTTTATTGATGATTCTTCCTTTTCCCATTTTACTTTTAAAGCAATTTGTGATGTAATATTAATCTGATGGAAAGTGATAACCCGGATAGGAAGAATTTGAGTTGACTCCACCCAAAACAATGATGCTAAACACAATGGTCTACTAGTCATCAGTGATGTCACAAACATTAACCAATAGGTTCTCAGGTTTCGTAATAAGGGATACCCCTTACCAATTTCACAAGATGCCTGAGTGATGCAAAATCACACTGAATGCTAGGAATGCATAGTTCTTTTTGCAATATAGGTTTGTTTATGTCACAGGAGGGACAGTATCAGCACTCTTCCATTCTAAACTTTGAGTGGAGCCTCTAGACTTCCTCCAAAAGTTGCTCCAAAAATGGAGATTAGTTTTAAGATTTAGATTTGTCCTCCTTTTTATGGGGGGGGGGAGCACAAGCCCCCAACATACTACTACTACTACTACTACTACTAATAATAATAATAATAATACAGGTCTTGGCCCAAAGGAAATTGAAGACCTCTGCTTTAAGACTGTGCCATCTTAAACAAGCAAAACAAAACAAAAACAAAACATGTAAGACAAACATGCCTCTCTAACATGCAATTCATGTTTAGTGCAAGGCTATTTTGAGTGGAATCTTTAACCAGAGACCTTCTCAGCTGGTGGTGAATCCAGACAGCTTATGTGAAAGGAGTGGTATGCCAGCAGCAGACACGTTAATGGACATCTGAGGTTTGCCATTTTGATCTTCTGTGACAGTCCAAAGCAATGCTACATTATGCCATTGTTGGAAATTAAAATGCCAACAATGCTTGGGGACTTGGGTGATGAAAATGGTAGCTGTTTGGAGCACTGAGCTTTTAAAAAAGGAGGACTAAGAGGCAAGGTCAGCAGCAGGCAATGCCAGGAATAGTTGCTGAGATCAAGACATTATTATTTTTTTTATTCCACAATTTAAGTCATTCCGGTGGGATTTATTATTCCCACTAATATGAGCAATTTTATGCATTTACGAATGTGGGTAGTGCAGCTGTCAACTCTTTTTCCAAATGCATTTAATTTTAATCTGAATTAGCACTTCCACTTAACAAGTAACATAAAGCCTAGTGCTATGCAGTTGAATCTGATATAGTTACCATAAAGTAAACTTAAAGTAAATTTTTCCACGTTGATGCTTGAAAAGAAATTCAATAATCATGCATTATTTTAGAAGATTGTTAAATAGCCATCCTCACCAAAGAGACAACTAAAAGGCTATCAAGCATGATCAAAATTTATCCACAGCTTGTTAGACATTAGATTTTAACTGTAGTACCACAATTCTTCTAGTATCTACCTATTGGGGAATATAAATGATTATTGTAAGACCAAATTAAATAGACCTTTGGTTACACTGATGTAGCCATTAAGTTTCTATGCTTCTGTAAATCACACTGCAAAGGTTATAGCACATGGGAAGAAATGTATTAGCTGTTGTTTTGCTAAGCAGTTCATGCATTGTGCTAATAATGACATGAAAAGCTAAAAAGATTTAATAATAATTCTCTCTCATTAATGATACTGCTAAAACTTCAAATGGGTGTTAATCATCTTAATGTTTATGCATTTGTTAATTGCACAGTTGGGAGGGAAATTAATTAAAAGTGGTATATTAAAAATTCAAAGGTTTTACAAAAGTGGCATTTTGATGATATGGGAAATTCTGTAGAAAAACAATTTATCATCTTTCTCTTTCCAGAACAGTAAAAAAAGACCAAGCTTGTTGCAAAATGAACTCAGAAAGACATGGTGACTTGCATTAGTTTCAAATCCTGAGAATACATTTTAAAGCAGCAAACTGTATACTGAAAATCAAAATTTGCTTATGTTTTCTATTCATGTTTCCATGTGCATCACTAGATGAACACGAATAGACAGAAATTCAGGATGGATAAAAATTAACTACAGAAGTCCTACTACAAAGTATAGTGATGTTACCAATATGAATAGCTTTAAAGGGGTATTAAAACTTTCATGGAATGTAAGGTATTAAGATGTAAATGGCTACTAGTAAAATGGGCTTATATTAATTCAAGTAAAAGAGGCAATGTGTCTCTTAATACAAATTGCTAGGAATGCAACTAGAATTGCATTCAGGTCCAGTGGGAGAATTTCCACTGGTATCTGCTTGGCCATTATGGGAACCGGATGCTGATTTAGACACACTTCAATTTGATTGCACAGAGTAGCAACAAGATTAACAGTACATTCAACAGCCATTAGGATCAAGCAGTTTCTTCCTACTGTCTATAACTTTTCAGAATGAATTTCCTTAACTAGAAAAAACATAACATTTTCTTTAGCATCCAGCCCAGAGTGAGGTGCTGTCATACAGTATCAGAGAACTCTGTACCATCGTATAGAATGCAATATATATGTATATGTTCTCTAATCAGCCCTTGGTGAAAGATCAGTGGCTCAGTATGGAGGACTGGTTTTGTCCTCATCATAAAATTTCCCCAGGTATGATGATCTACACACCATTACAAAAGGTACATATTCACTTGTACATATTACCCATGGTCTCATTATCCTATGGTTTAGAGTAGTGTTTCTCAACCCCAACAACTTTAAGAGGTGGGGACTTCAACTCTCAGAATTCTGGGAACTGAAGGCCATACTTCTTAAAGTTGCTGAGACTGACAAACACTGGCTTAGAGTATCTGTGATGATAAAAAAAGGCCAGACCTCTATAAATATGTAAAGGTATCCATGGTTTTGTCCCTCTTTTTCTTAATTTATGCATGCTCAAAATGACAGATAGGCTTTTGTGCATGTGTAAGATATATTTAAGAATAAGGATTAGGTATTCCATGCATTGTGGTATTCAGTGCTCCTACTTCTCTCTTGCCCAGTCAGCCTGGTCATGAATGTGGCTTTCTCATGGCTGCTGGCCTTCTCCTTTCAAACAACTCACTTGTGTCATGTGGCTCATGCTGATTTCTCACTCTTTTGTAATCTCGATGGAGAAGCCTCTTGATTATTCTGTTGAATGCTAGTGCTGCTTTAGACAACACACAGCTCACTCTGATGACCATCTGATATTTGGGGTTGGGGTAGTGTTGTTCCTTCTGAAGCTTCCTGCCACAGCATGAGCCAGGTGGTGAGGTAATTATGTGGAGTCTTTTCTTAACTGAACTCTTGGATTTAGCCAGGCCATCTCCGCATAGCCTCACTCCTTTCTGTACATGGAAAGAAACTGGTTCCGTTTTATGGTCATGAAGCACTACAAGGTTCTGGGAAGGTCCTTTTGGATATGTCAAGGGACAGTTTAAGAAGCTGTCTGTAAAAAACAGCAGGCATTTCCAATATACAGTGGAAAATCTATTCCCCAAACCAAGAAGAGGAAGAGTTAAGCTCCAAGAATAGATTCTTGCAATTTAATTTATTGTTGTCGTGGTCTAGCACTTATTTATAATATATTCTATTTTTCCTAAATGCTTAAAACGTGAAACAAAGTATTTTGATGAAACAAAGACCATCAATGCCCTGTATACAACCGGTTCATTTAGGGATATAGAAGAGAAAGATCCTAAAGCTGAATTTAGCAAAATGGTTTGCTAACATCTCAAGATAAAATCTAATTTCTGTAAAAATTACCTGCTGCTGCAGAGGCCCCTTGAATCCTAGATTTTCTGCCAGCTGTATTGCTTGAGTATCCTTTACACCTTCAAAAATATCTATTTCTTCCTGTTACAATAAAGTGCATAAACAAAAATATTCAGCTGGAAAACAAATGTATAACTTCAATGGTTAAAAAATACTTAATATATTTCTGCAAATTAGCAATTAAAATTTGGCAAGTTGCCAAAATTCCAAGATTGCAGCTACAGGGTATGTTATAATTACCACACTCTCCATGAAAAAGTCCCTCCAAAAACTGTGTAATTCTTCAGGGTGGCATGCTGACAAGACAATCTGACACCAGTTTTCACTTTTAATTACTGTACAGATGGCATTGATGAATACGTATTCTGTTAATTTTTATGACCAATTTTGGCAAGAAACCAAAGCAATGTTGCTAATGCTCAACAATATTCCTCTTCATTTTTCAATTCAAATACACATTATTGTTGCTATTGTTTACAGAATGTTATGTGCTCACCAAATTATAGACCAATTCCATGTTAAGTTTAGTTACTCTGTCATTAAGCATTCTTTCATATAGTAGCCATTCCTTACTCCTATAATTTGAAATAATAGCAGACTTTAAAGTGAAAAGAAATTAATGAGTAACCAATCTGAAAAGTGTAATGTTTACCTGATGAGTAAATAGGGGGTTAATTTATAAATCAATAGAATCAGATCCTGTTGCTATTGTTTGTCTATATCACTTCAGACTGTCTACAATATTTGAATGCACCTCCATCAGACTACCTTACTGAACAGAGAAATTAAGGTCCTTGATAGACCAGATTTCCTTATGGGAATGGAAATTAAATAGTCTACATTTCCTTTGTAGTGGTACAGTCTATGAGAAACTCTGTTCTCTGGCTCTCATATTTTAAAGGGTGGTTGTTAAGGCTAGAATCTCATACCCATTTATTTGGCTATAATTCCCATTAAATGCAATTAGACTTCCTTCTGAACAGGCATGTAAGGATAGCACTGCAAAAAAAGAATAAACTAACTAAGTTAGCATTTATTAACTTACAAAATTTACTAATTAGCAAAAGCTATTTACAATGGTTATCTTCTCTTCCAAACTTATGTCACACTTTGTACTATATTCAGATTCTCTCTCTTAACTTGTAGTAAAATAACATGTTGAAAATGTTCATGTTCCATTCTGCTGTCAAGGTTAAGTGTGAGTAAATGTATGAACCTATCCTTTTATAGATCTGCTATCCTCTAAGTCATGGGTTCCTAAATTTTTTGTCACCACACCTCCCTTTGGTGTAAACTTAATCTATATACCTCCCCTAAAACTCCAAACACCCAAATGGACACAAATGAACAATGAAAATAATACAATGAAACTTTGGGAAAGGTGGATTTATTGTAACATTGTAACTAAAAGGTTCTTCACACCTCCCCTGGTCTCTGTCTGCACCTCCCCAAGGGAGGTACACCTCACAGTTTGGGAAACCCTGCTCTAAGTGATAGCAAGATCTCTGCAAAGACCTTTTAATGGGAGATATTAGAGATGAATGTGGGAATGTCTGTACATGCTCTAGCAATGAAGTACATCTGTGGGCATCTGTAGGAGAAGCAAATGAGAATGATTACATCGTTGTTCAAATAATGTATATCATGTACTTGGAAGTATGTAATTCACATCATTTGTGTGATGATGTCATGATACGCACAGGATATTGCTAACTGCATTAGCTCCCCTTCTGGTTAAATATGTTCCTAAATATACATGAATGCATGTAAAATATATGGAACATGATTAATGCTTTACAGATATTATATTTAGTCTTCTATAGTCACATCAACCCCATCTCGGATTATTTATTCAAAGGGACTACAGCAGTGCAGTATGCTTGAACATGAACAATTTTAAACTTGACTACCATAAACTAAAATGTACCTTGAAGATAAGTTCTGGAGTTTTAGCAGCTACTTCTTCTATATCAACCCCACCTTGTGGGCTACCAACGAGAACAGGTCCATTGCAAGCTCGATCCATTAATATTGCAAAATATGTTTCTCTGGAAATGTTTAATGCTTCTGCCACCATAACCTAAAAAATACCATTTGACAATATATTATTAGTATGCCTTAGCTGACAATATCCAATAGAGATTGTATTTTATTGCCTGGGTAAGAAATACAGTCTTCCAAATGAGGAAGAAAGAACCTAGCACACATAATAAATATGTGCCGGAGTTCAACCCACATTCTTGAATCCTTCACTGATGTGTCACAAAATTAATTACTTCATTGAAATATGGGTGTCTTATTATATTATTATCCTGTATTACAGTATACCTTTCCATTTCAATTTCCTTGAGCCTATGGGAATCATCCATAACACAGACTATCCTCTTTGTTGAAGACAGCGGCCCAATGTCCCTTAACTGCAGCAACCTCCACAACATATGTGAAAAACAGAGTCCAAAAACTTCCAACTATACCTCCATGCAATATACAGAGGAACTGGGAGGAATGAAACGGATCAAGAGACATCTAGAGTAAAGCATCCATCCTTGCTCTACTTGACGTCTCTGTGGCTTTTGATATCTTCGGCCATAGTATCCTTCTGGACCAGCTTCAGGAGTTGGGACTGGGAGGCACCGGGTTGTCCTGGTTCACTTCCTTCCTTCCAAGGCCATTCTCAGTCGGTGTTGATTGGGGCCGAGAGGTCCGACCCTCAGTCCCTGCTTTGTGGGTCCGCAGGGGTCGGTGCTTTCTCAGCTCCTGTTTAACATCTACAGGAAGCTGCGGGTGAGATCATCCATCACCACGGGGCGAGATATCATCAGTATGCAGATGATACTCTATGCACATCTCTGCCCATGGTGAATTAAGCGATGCCATGACTGCCCTTTCTTGGTGCCTGGAGGCTGTTGCGGTCTGGATGGGGAACAGCAGGCTGGAGCTGAACCCTGACAAGAAGGAGTGACTTTGCATTTGGGGTTTCTGGAGAATTACCATCTTTGGTCTTGGATGGGGTTGCTCTGCCCCAGATGGACCCAGTGCATAATCTGGGGGTTCTCCTGGACTCGTGACTCCTGCTCGAGGAGCAGGTGGCAGTCATGGCCAGGAGGGCTTTTGAGCAACTGCAAGTTGTGTGCCAGTTATGCCCATTCCTGGACCAACATGCCCTTCTTACAATCACCCATGCCCTAATCACCTCCCGTTTGGACTATTGTAACATGCCCTACATGGGGCTGCCCTTAAGGAGCATCTGGAAGCTTCAGTTGGTTAAAAATGTGGTGGCCTGCAGAGTTTTGTGCAAGCCTAGATTTGTGCATGCGTCATCTCTTTTGTAGGAGCTGTATTGGTTGCTGATTTGCTTCTGGGTCCAATTCAAGGTGCTGGTTGTCACCTTTAAAGCCCTACACGGTTTGGGGTCAGGTTATCTGAAGGACCGCCTTTCCCCAGTTACATCTACCCAGCCCACCAGAGTGCGGAGGCAGGGTATGTTGTGGGTCACTTCAATGAGGGAGGTACATCTACTGGGATCAAGAAAAAAGGCCTTCTCTGTGGTGTCTCTCTCCCTATGGAATATAATCCCCCTGGAGATAAGACCGGCCCCCACCTTGATACTTTTCCAAAAGGCCCTGAAGATGTGGTTTTGTCAGTGAGCCTGGGAACCCTAGGTTGATATGGAGCCGATCAAATGATTAATTTGAATGTGTTCGTTGCTGCCAGGGAGGTGGGGGGTGTATTGGTTTTTTGTATTTGGGTTTTAACTCTATAAGCTGCCCAGGGTCACTTGTGTGAGTTGGGTGGCCATATAAATTAGTTTAATAAACAAATGAATAAACAAACTATTCTAGGGCTGTACACCATGATGGCTTCAGGTTGCCTCCTCCTTCTCTAGGCTTGAGGGTCACTTGTGCAAGATAGATTAGGCTAAAGCATCTTCACATCTATAGCAAATATAGCCCAACCATTTCACACTTAATGCATGCAATATTTGCAGCACCACTGTAATTGTTACATCTACATCAAGTCACTGGAATCTCATTTAGTATGTGAAAGAATTGATCTGGAATATTGCATGTCAGTAATTTCAGTAGCATATTAAGCAAAGAACAAACATAACAATTCACACGCTACAAATGTTATGCAAAATTACAAACTGTGTCTTATCTTAATTCTTAAGATGGAGCTGCTATACCAACCAGAGTAGGATGGCATCTTAAAGGCATGCCAGCTCTAATAATCTCAGTGAGATATTCATAACATGGGATGGTCTTCTTCAACCTTCTGACTGTAATATATATTAAATGATACCTTTATTGCAAGATTATGAATTCTATATATCTATCCTAGGGACAGATGTGCAAAATGTTTTGTGCACAGACAGAAAAGATAAACAGAAAATAAAGCCAGAGATGACACAGAGAAACAACAAAGGAAAATGACTGCAGGAAGGGAAGTGATGGGCGGGGCAGGTAAATTATGCTCTGCTTGAATTTAAGCACGGCAGCGGCAGCAGCAAAGGAAAGAAAAGTGCTGGGCCGCTGGGTTACACCATACCTGAATTCAAACATGGCAAAAAAATGAGAGCCAGTTTGGTGTAGTGGTTAAGGCATCAGGGTAGAAAGTGGGAGTCCAGGAGTTCTAGTCTTGCCTTAGGCACGATGACAGCTGGGTGACTTTGGGCCAGTCACTCTCTCTCAGCCCTAGGAAGAAGGCAATGGCAAACCACTTCTGAAATTGTTGCCAAGAAAACTGCAGGGACTTGTCCAGGCAGTCACCAGGGGTCACAAAACAAAACAAAACAGAACAAAAAAACCTGGGACTATTGGTAGAAGGGGTAGGTAGGTGTGGCCCACGAGGTTATATTGCATTTAAATTAAGATAAAGCAGCAGCAGCAGCAGCAGCAGCAAAAAGAAGGGAAAGAAAGTGCTGATGTTGGTATGATTAGGAGAGGGGGTGAAGCATACCAGCCTCGCCTTCCTCACAAGACTATCCAGAATTTGTCCAAAATTTGGAACTGGAAGTTCCAGATTTCAGCTGGAAATCCAAGCTGCCTGGAACATCTCTGCCCAAATCCCCAGCCACAATGTATTTGTTCTATATATGAAACAAAGTGTAATTTCCATTTCATGCACATCTCCAACCTATACTATCTGGTAAAACAATGCTGACATTTAATATGAAATTCACTTTTCATATAAAAAGAGGAACGCGTTCCTCTGGTCCAGAGTGAAAATACTGAATGTTGGCTGTTCCTGACGAACACCAAGTGGAATTTTCAGCAAAGTTTCCTGTGCTTCAACCCAAAGCTGATGTATTTCCTGTGACTTGCTTGTCTCATTTAGACTTTATTTCTCCCTCCCTCCCTCTTTTTTTCTTATTTAGTTTTTCTAAAATTCTGATTATATATAAGACTTTTTATATCCATTTCTTTCTTGAAAAACTTCTTTACTGTATTATTTATTAAAGACTGTCTAGCATTTTATGGGAGCTTCTATACCCCGCTTTCTTCAACTTGGTACCTTCCACTTGTATTGGACTGAAATTCTTAGATCCTCCTCTCTTCTAAGAGATATACTTAGTAGAGTCCAGAAGAAATCAGTTACTGCGTTTTATAGAGAGTGGCTATTAATATTTGTTGTAATATATTTAGCATACCTCCTTTTCTCTGATGAACATGCATAAAGCAACAAAAATTCTTCCTAAAATATTTAGGATGAGTTTATTCAATACAGACTCACCAACACTCAAGAGTATTTATATCTGCATCTTTCTATACATATACACGTAGTACCCTGGGAGACAAACCATAAGCAACCAATATACATACAACGCACAGAGGCATAGAGATATCTACAAATATATCAACACTTAAATGCATGTGCATGCAAGAATACATCCCCCTCCTGCACAAATACCTATCAACAGAGTCTGATACCAAACATAAAATTATACTTATTTAGACAAACCTTTGCAAATTTGAATATTTTTTTTATTTTATAAAATTATTATTACAGCCCCAAGCCTTCAAGAGGAATAAGGCAAAATATTTAAATTTTAAACAGATAGTTGGAATTCACATCCTTATTACTGAAAGCTTCTCTAATATCTTCCAAAGAACTATTACTACAAGAAACTCTATTTTTTAAAAATCCATCAGGGTCTCTAATTCAAACGTCAATATAGTTAAATTCTTTTATTGCTTGGAGAAAACGGGCAGGTAAGTCAGCTGCGATAAACAGGAACTGTCTTTGAAGATAACCAAGCTCTCCAAATGTCATGATGCCATAAGATAATTTTATGTAAACCTATAAAATAGCGGCCCATGTCTGAAGGAGTTGGGGGGGGGGAACTCTGTTTATTAAAGATAGATTGATCTTACACCAACATTTTATGTATTGCTGCAGGGAAAGAAATGTACTTTTGGAAGCTCATTTGTTGATAGGGATACCAACTCCACTCAGGACATAAACTAGGTTATGCCACTCCTCACCCAACTTTCTCAAGAAGTCCTGTGATTTGTAATTTCACTGGTTTGTGAGAGTTCTCTTGGAAATCCCGACTTCTTCTCACAAGATGTAATAATTATCTGGCTTCTGATGGGAAGAACTATGTAACTGTGGCTGTATGGGAGGGTGGGTGGAGAGATGAACTATATTTTGTTTTATATCCTAATAAACCTCAGGAATAAACCTCACAGTAGTTTGTGTAACATTAGGCATCTCAACTTTAAATATAACATTTTAAAATGACTGCTGTGGATACAAGTGCCACCAGGAAACATATTATGCAGTATTTTAGCACATGGTATATTTCTGGTCTTCTAGGCTGAAAGGAAGCTAGGAAGATTAGAAGAAACAAGACGAAGAACAATTGTTCCCCACAGATGAATCCATGCATGAACAGTAAGATACTGGGTTCAACTGAAAGGGAATTGGCCTCCCTATCTTCTGGCAAAAAAACAAAATGATTGCCCAGATTTTCTCTTTATGTAAGAACCTGTCCATTCCAGCGAAAGAAAAAGAGCAGTCAATTTTTATGGAAGCTCAGATAATACTTTGAAGAATTTGCAAAGTTCTGACTGGAGGCAATGAGCTTGAAGCTTCCTCTCATACGATTTGTAAATTCTATTTTGGAGATCAATTCACAATTATTGATCAAAATCTTAGAAACCATTCTGTTGGTGTTTGAATGTATCTTTTTTAACAAATATGAACAAAATCAGATACACTAATTCCAGTTGCCCTTTGCCTTCCTACAAACTATAGGATTTGCCCACTTTATGGTGGCACTAATAGATTACAGGCAAGCTTTAATATATCAATATCTTGATATCCTCTGTCTTTTCTCAACCAAGAAACAAAATTGTTATCACTGATTCCCAAATGACTTGATGCCTGTGTGCTAATTAAACCAGAAACTTACTTTTCAAATTTATCTTGACCATGGATATGTCATACTTCAGTTGCAAGTAAAAGAGCCACTTTTGTATCAGCATATTCAAAGCAATTAAAGCAATGACTAAGATAGGCTGGATGGTTTAAAAAGGATGAATGTCGTTTTTAGACAACTAAAATGTTCCTGCAGCTGTCCTATATTTAATTATTCAACTGAAATCAATGAAACTTTGCATACAAGCGCGGAGAACTGCAATCTGCAATAACAATTTTAAGTCAAGAATTCAATCATCTTAAATGTTTACTAAATTATGGGTAAGGCATTATTTAATTTCTGATTTTAATCTCTGTCATGGATCACTATTATATTCTATCTGCCAAGCCAACTTTTGGTGTTTCATGGAGGACAGCTCTATCAAGGTCTGTTAACTCAATACTACCTCTGTACAAGAAGCATCATCCCTCTAACTAATATCAGTTGCAGGGAAATAATAGAAAAGAGTATGTCTCCATTTCCTGCTTACAAGCACATCAGAAATACTTGGTTGAGCCCTTTGAGAAACAAATGCTTGTCCAAGATAACATGACTACTCCATGGATCAAACTGCTCACCTTTCACATACAAGATGTACATGATGTCACTTGGTTACTGAGTTTTGGATCTTAGCATGCAATTAATGATGAGTTATGGAGGACAAACTTTTCCATTCTACTAGATCAGCAAAAGAAAACCTGAATAGCATGTGTTTTTTGAGTAGAGGTTTGTAAGCATCAAAAAAAAAAAAAGTAAAATATAAAAAGTGAAGGAATGTAAATAAGCAGTGTATACCATTATAATCAGGAATTTGGAAAACAACCTTCCCCAAATGAACATTTATTAGATATAGATCTGGTGCACAGTAACTCTGTAATTTGCTCAGTGGCTTCATACTGCACCTGACAATATTTATTGTGATATTCACGTGGGAGGTTTTCTTACCTTCTTAACTTTAACACCACCTTTTGGTGTTTGCTTTGTTGTAAGATTATATCCAATCATCTGTTCAGCAAGCTGTCCTACCTCTTTAGGGCTACAAAAAAAGAGGGATAAACTACTTCAATAATTTTTTTTTAAAAAAAAACCAAATTGTTCAAAGAGACAATAATTTTAAAAATCTTGTTGCATTTCCTGGACTCACTCTTTTGTTAAATGTACACCTCCTTTCAAACCGCTGCTGAAAATACCTTTGCCTCTTCCTCCAGCTAAGATCTGAGCCTTCAACACAATTTCTGTCGCTTCTGTAAGAGGGGGAAAATGTTATTAAGCTACAGCCTCGATGAACTAATTTCATTATGTGACAGTTGAGCAAAAAACTCTCCCAGATATTAATGCTAAAAGAGAAGTTCAGTGTTTTAATCTAACAGCATACACATGTGAAGAATGCAATGCAGCTTTAAACTGGAAGACATGCAGACAATAAATAAAATGGTTAACTGCAGGGACTTGTCCAGGGAGTCTCTGAGAATCAGACACGATTGAATGGATAAAAGAAAAAGTGGGACTCAGGGGAAAGACAGGAAAGTATAGGGCAGTAAGCTTAACATCTGTCCCAGGAAAATAGTTAGAAACAGTAATCAAAGAAAAAATAACATAGAGGAACAAGCCTTGCTAAAGGAAAATCAGCATGGAATTCATAAAGGTAAATCCTGCCTTACCCATAAGGCAGGAGTCTACTGAGAGTGTTAACAGGCACATGAATGGTGGTGACACTCTAAACTTGGATTTTCAAAAAACCTTTGACAAAGATCCTTATTAAAGCTCTTGAAGAAATTTAGGAGCCATGAGAACAAAGGATCTAGACTTTTATGGATTGCTAACTACTGTAGTTATAAGGCAGAAAGCAAAGAGTAAGAATAAATGGGCAAATTTCTCAGTGGAGGGAATTATGGAGTGGAATTTCTCAAGGATTTGTATTGAGACCAGTTTTTTAACTTGTTCATAAAAGATTTTGCCTTAGGGGTAAGAAGTGAGCTAGCCTTTTTAAGAAATTAAAATCCTAGTGAGTACTGACATTGTGTGTTCTTCACATTTCCACTCTAATCCAACAGGAGTAGTGAGCTAGCCAAGTTTGTAGATGATAGTAAACTATTTAGCATGGTTCGGGCCCCAAAAGGAGCCTGTTTTACACAGATGAATCGTCATCCAAATGGCAAGCATAATTCAACTTAAGCAAATGCTTAGGAGCATGTTATTTGAAGGACCACCTTTTCCCAGTTTCATCTGCCTGACCCATCAGATCGGGGAGGCAGGGCACGTTACGGGTCTCCCTTATTAAGGAAGTCCATCTAGTGGGACTGAGAAGGGCCTTCTCCATGGTGGCTCCCTCCCTGTGGAACTTCATCCCCACAGAGATAAGACTGGCTCCCACCTTGATGCTCTTCCATAAGGGCCTGAAGACATGATTTTGCTAGTGGGCCTGGGGATACCAGGTTGACCCGGAGCCCATCATATGGCTAGTGTAAATGTACTGTTGTCACCAGGGGGGTGGGGGGTGGAGTGGGTTTTGTATTTGGGATTTTTATTCTTGTAAGCTGCCTGGAGTCACCGTGAGTGAGTTGAGCGGCTATAAAAATTGCATAAATAAATAAATATATAAATAAAGCAATGCAAGTTGAGGAGGAAGAAAACTAACTTCAAATTCACATTTATGGAATCAGAGCCATCAATAACGAACCAGAAACAAGATTTTGGGTTATAGCAGACAGCTGAATGAAGAGTAGGAACTTTGAAAAAAGCAAAAATCCTTGCTAGGAGTCATTAGGAAAGGAATTTGCCAGCACTGTAATGCCCTAAACTGAGTACTCCATCTGGAGTACTATGTACACTTCTGGTCTTCATACCTGAAAAAGGATATACTAGAGGCTGGTGTGGGTCTTCCGGGCTGTGTGGCCGTGTTCTGGAAGTTTTGTTTCCTAACG